TGGTGCTGCATTGTTACATATCACAAAGGGAGATTAGCCAGGAAAACTGAATAGCAGTAGAAAATCTGTTTAAGGACAGATTACTAACACCCCATCGCATTTCTTGTAGGATTTCATTTAACCAAACTGCCAGGAGTGTTGGTATTTCTCTGGTCACAGGGCTAAGGGATGAAGTACATCAGCTTTCATTGTGCCTCAGTTTTAACTGTTTGTTAAACTGTTTCTTCTTTTGCATGACATTACAAAAGCCATACTATCTCATCTAGAAGGAAGAAAAGCTGCTAAACCCAACATGTGTCATTAGGAACACTGTCCTAGGGGACGGGATATGAAAGAAACCAAGCAACTTGGAATGAAGACCATGTTGTCAACGCAAGATTTGCGTTTTTTAAGCTTATCAAACTCTGCAAGTCTGGAGCTCCTTTAAAGAGCTTGGCCGGTATCTGTTTTTAATAAACACAATATGACATGCACACTGCTTTCTAGGGCAGCTAAAGAGTTTTTTTAAAAATAGCGTGAAAAATTACACTTTTAATTTAGTCGAATTTACTTTCAAACAGACAGGTTCGACCATTCGTGAAAAAAACAGCTCCTACAAGGCAGTGGTGTGGGGGAGGGTTAAGGTTATGAGCCTCTCGCCTTGTGGTAGCAATGCACACAGACAATATGTGCACAACATTTTCTACCCTGATCATGGGATTGTTGTGCGTTGCAGGCACAGACCACGCATGAGCGAGTCCTGGGTTCATTGGGGAAGCTTCTGCACGACCAGGCTGCTGGGTTTTACGGCAGTTGTCTGAATTGGTTGTGGCAGAGCTTGTTGTCATGTGTGGCCCTGTACCACCTTTTCACATTCTGGAGCTCATGAAAGATTTATAAAAATGCAAAGCTGCCGGCCTTGGGAGCAGGAATACAATCTGCCCGATGAAGAACATTATCAGCTCAGCTCTCCAGTCTGGACACACTTGTCGGGCTGTGAGGGATAGGACTAGCCATATAGGAAAGCAACACCCAAGAAATGAGCAGCTTAGTAGGAACCTGTGAATTTCTAATTGCTTTTTTTATAGTCCAGATTGTGACCAAGTCCGTAAGTTATTCAGGGTATGAGCACAAACCTTGGACACTGAAGTGTAAGGCAGTACATATTCGTTCTAGATGTAGATGTGCCTTTAAAATTCATTTGCAGGACATATGCACACCACAAGGTCTTACGTTTTCTCATTAATTGATTGGACAGATTTGCTGCTGCCCAGCAAGGTGAGATTTCTGTCACACAGGTATTTGAGTAGCACTGACGTTTACTTACAAACTGGTATCTGGAGTACAACACCTTTCTCTTCCACAGATCGACCTGCACCCGGACACGAAATTCAGGAGTAACACTGCCTGACAAAAGGTTTGAAGACATTTTAGCAGTGAAGAGAGAAACAGGCTAAGAGAGAGTCCACCACCATTTTGGCATGTTAAAAAAATACAGTCACACTTCTGAACACAAAAATTCTTTAGGATTAATTCAAACAAGCAGTATTTCACTCAAAACTAGAGAGAAGAGGAATGCTGGCAGCCTGCTCGGCAATGGCAAACTATTTTTGGATTTCTGCCGCTGTCTAAATGGAGCAGAACAGCACACCTGTGTATTGCGGGCCCCTTCGAGTCCCGGCTCCATTTTCAGCCAGGGCTGGTAAGTTAGTGGGCCAGTCTGGGCACTGGGATGACCAACGTGGTACATCAGAGGCATCTGCACTGAGGTGAGCACAGCGCAGCCTCAGAACCATTCGCACTACTGGAGTGTTCGAATATACGCTGCGCTCCACGCTGCTGGGAGATGGAGGGACAGAAACGGAATCTGTGGGAGAAGAGGCATCCCAGCCACAGTCCTGTGCACACTCCTGCGCCCACACATCTCCACACACACGCGGTCCGCTGAATAAAGACACTCTGCGGATTTCTTTCTCATGTCATTACTTTCGACTTGGACGCTCTGTGTGTGCCGTTTCTCCACAATTACAGTAAACCCAAATTTGGGAGCATTTTCTTGGAAACAAACCACTTGAAGATATATTTATAGTTTGTTGATGGCATGGTAACTATATTTGTTCATTCAGAATCAGAGCTATGTCTTTTTGTCTTTTGTTTTTTCTTCTTTTTTTTTTGGCCTGTGATGTAACTACCCTACTATTCGTGATGTCAGATTTACAAACATTATATGCTTAAATCATTTCTCTGAAGCATCTAATTAAATAGCCCAGTTAAAGCAAAGAACATAATAGCTGTGCTTAGTCTTCCTGTTTACTTCCCTGGCATCACTCTCTCCTTTTAATTTTTTAAAGGCTGTAAACATCATTTTAATGTTTTAAAAAACTGGTGTTTTTTAAAACCTTTTAAAAGGGTGGATTTATGATCTGAACTAACAGCCCAAACTTCAACCCAATAAACAACATCGCTGACACAGCTTGAAACACTACTGATTAATTTACCACTGACTCTCCTAAACGTACAGAATTATCATGGATAGCTGTCTGTACAGATCCCTGCATGCAAAAGTATCTGGAGAATTTTCACCTTAAAACACTGCTTTTTTTCAGTGGTACTGACTAGGCTTGGAAACTGTAATGCCTCCCGATAGCAAAACAAAATGAAAAACCTTAAAGGAGAGGTTGCAAGTGAAACAAATCGTTCAGAAGAGCACGTGAAAAACAGACCCACATTCCAGCAGGAGAAGTTCACCTGTCTGCCATAAGCGAGTCCCATCAGGCCTTAATAAAGGAATATCACAGCAAACCACTTGTAATGTCTGGGGCTGCAGCCACTGTCGGCGCCCAACCCCCAGCCTGGTGCCCACATCCATGAGCCGCCGACAAAATACAAAACCCCAAACTCAAACCAGTGGCTCTGCTAAACACAGCACTTCAATTTCAAGACGCTGGTCTCTGGGATTACTAAAGAGAATGCTGTATAACCATAGGCTCCATTCAGCCTGTAGGCTCCACCCACTCCTCTCCACAGAGGAAACTAAGATGACAAAGCGCCAAACTCCAGTTCCTGTGGCAATTTCCCCCTTAGACAGAGACCACTACTCGCTGCACAACAGACAGCCCCTCGCAGCCCCCTTTCAACAAGGGGGACCCCACCCTCTTTTAGCAGGGCGCACAACAACCCCCTGCACTGCCTCTGGAACCAGGGCACTTACACAAACCACCGTGCCTTTAGGCTGATGCTATATTTACCATTAGCACACATGAAACTTCACCATAATTAAATTTGTAATGGATAGCTAGGAAACCTAATGTTGGGAGGATGTGTTGTTGTGATTTTTTTTTTCAGCACATGGGCCCAAGGCGTAGCCTACAGTTCACAGAACGTCCCTGCGGACCAAGAAACCAAGATAAATAACATCTCTTCCATACATCTTATTTGTGAATAGAGCCCATTTAGACTGAAACAGACACTGCTACTGGGGTTTCAAAAGTGCCCCATAAATCAGCTACAGCTACACCAATCTTTGTGAACACAGCAAGCAGTCTCATACCGCCTGCAGTATATTTACACACTGTTAGGGAGACTTTCAATGCTCGCTGGCTCCTGAAATCTTCACCACTTTAATCATCTCAAAATAGATTCTTTAAAACAACATTAAGTATGTATGCTAGAATAAATATAATGCACTATTTCACCACTATTTAACCCTTTTAGATTTGCAGACATCTGATGTTTAGTTTCTTTTAATAAATGAGAAGTCTATTTTTTTTCCGAGCAAAAAGCTTGTTTCTTTTTCCTTGCTTTCAGTTTTCCAACCATTATCCGCAGAGGACAGCGGCAAGCCAGAGACGAACATGGCGGATACAGGCCGTAAGGTGGACAGGACTGCAGTCTGTCAGTCGACACAGACGCTAATATACACACAGGGACGATTAGACACCAATTAACCTGGCCTGCCTGTTTCTGGGAAGCTGGAGGAAGTCTTTAATAGCAAAACACATAACACAGGATTGTACTAAACTCACTCTTTATTTCTCCAGGCTTGTGAGCCTGCACACACACTTAGGCCTAATGTTATCTGACCTGAATTCTTTCCCATTTCCTCCACTGCAGACTATGTGCCAGCCAGCCTTCTAGGTGTATGTCATCTGTTTATCTAACAGTTTGGCTGCTGCATTTACTGAGGGGATGCAGCAATCAAGTAGTTCAGTATTACCAAACTACGTGTAAAAGGTAAAAAGTCGTTTTTTACAGGATGCTGGTTTTAAAAGAATTTCTAATGCTGTGAGAACCCTATGGCATCTATGGAAGAACTAGCGCCGAATGAGGGAGTAATGGGTCTCTTTCTGCTAATTAAAAATGAGCAAAGGGGCAAATGTTGCCCAGAAATCTGGGAATACCCTGTCCAGCTCAAGCCCTGCCCCCCCGATGCCTCACTAATTGTGCACTGCTGATCCCAGTCACCGTTACCGAAAGACACAGCCCAGACTTGAACTGGGCACAAATGAGGCTTTGAACGAGAGCCTCTACTGACGGAGTGATCCAGGAGCTCAGAAGCTGATGATTTTGATGCTCAAGATGATAGCAGGCTACGACCCCCTTTCCACTCGGTTCCAGATATATCTAGAAGTGCAGAGCTGGTTCAATAAAGTGTGCCGTCATACTGCATTTCAGAAAGATCGTGGCACTTACACTCAGCAACAAATCAGAAGAGAAGTAATATTAAAACTGCTGTCACGATTTTTAGAAGCTGTTGCTTTTAAGGACAGGGGTCAGTCTTTAAAGCACCGTGTCTTTGGGAATGGAAACATCACATAAGAGTAAGAGGACTTGCGGGACAGGCATCTTAATCCATCCTGTTACAACAGCGATGCCTGCTATTGCCAACTTATTAGCACACGTCTTATTAGCCCCACCACTTACTACAGAACTGAGAAACAGAAACTTGCTGAATTGGCCAAGTCCGATTTATGCCATACGTTTTTCTTTTTCATGTGGTTGAAAAAAGGTAAAATAACAAATAAATGGGAAAAAAAACCCCACCTTCATCTGTTTTATTTTTGTAATTCATGAACACAGGATTCTGAAGGCATAATAAAGAATAGAACCGATCTGAAACTCAGACTTTGAAGCCATATGGACACCCTAACTGCAGACTGGCAACAGCCTTTCAAAGGCAGGACTCTGACTGCTCCCCACACACACACACATTAATCTCTGTGATTTGCTCAACAGAGAATTTTCATCATAGGTTTCCTTCAATTACAGGCTGCCTAATTGAAATGCTGAAGCTTGTCTCCTTTGGTCAGTTTTCATCCAGCACTCCTGCAAGTCTAACAGATAACAATGTGACTTCTGTGTAGCTGGACTTCGTCCAAACCACAAGGGATGAAAGATAAGAGATCATCTGGGACTAATTACTTCGTTTACTGAATATCCAATAAAGCGTGGGTTGGCACTTTCTTTGGAAGTGGTCCCTTTTCGTGTTGGTACTCAACTGGAAAATACTTCTATGTTAAGCTGTTTCAATTTTTCTTTCTACGTTTTGCATTTGTTTGGGCACTGTCCTTATCTGGAGAAAAAAAAACATTAATGAGACATTACTGCTGGACAGTCTGTTGCATTCAATGTTCCAAAATAATTATTTTTTTTTTTTTAATTGTCAACAGGCTGTCTTAAAGCTGTCCATTTAAAAAGCATCCCACAGGTCGCAAGTGCTACCGCAGTGGGCTTCAGCACTCAGAAGCGACTCCAGACCCAGACCCACAGCAAGGCAGGCAGCAGGTGCTGTCCAGTCAAGTGGATGCAGGCTGTAGAACTCTCCTGGTTAGACTAATGAGAGCAGCTAGAATTTAGCAGAGCCTTCTGACTCCAGCACAGGGGGATTCACCCGTCCACTGCTGCACGAGATGCTACAAAAGACTTCTGCATCCACCAGATGGGACGTGCCACATTGAGCTCCTGCTGGACTGCACACACTCCCCACTTGCATTCCACAGTGAATTCTCCTCCATAATCGAATGTAATGATTTCATTAAAGGCGGAACAAACAGAAACTCTTCAGGCCCGGAGTGCCTTAGAAGTGTTTTTGAAGACTGCGGTTCCATTACAGTCCTCTGGTCTTCTCGTTTCTCCCTGTTTTCAGTTCCCTTACAGGCCGCCTTCCTCTGCCCTGCCCGAGCCGCTGGTCAGGGGAAGTTGGGACGTGTGTTTTGAAACAGGGACCAGCTAGGGAACAAACAACCAACAGAAAAAGAAACATCTACGTTATCTGCAACACAGCTTGGAAAAAGACGAGAATTGTACTCTTTCAAACAAACTGTAAAAATAATCATCCTGTAACAATGCCTTTAATACAGTAAAAATACAATATATCAGCTTTGTCATTGCTGTCCAGATTGATGTCACTTGCTTGGAGAATTTTGCAAACCCTACTTTTAAACGAACAAATAATTGCTGGATTGACACAACATGGTATGGGTGTGTTAAACTACTGCAACAAAGTGGACAGGCACCCTTGTGCATCCTCTGTTTAATTAACTCTACTTATGTCTGTGCTAGAGGTCACAAACACTTGCTCAATGTCATAGTTTAATCCATTCAGGAAAAGCAAGTGTTTCACTTCCAAATTGACATGCTTATGTCAACTTTTAAAATTCACACTTCGGGAAAATGATCAAATTATATGAAATCATGTGAGGATCCGTATAGGTAAGTAAAGGCCTTTCATATCACATTGATTGGTAAATTAACCCTTTAGAATCCACGCTTTGCACCATTCCTTGAGCATAAAATTGAACAAAATGACTTTGTTGGCAACATAAGACAAAGAAGAAAACAAAGGCATCTCCATATAAAAGGAGGAAGATTTAATAGCCAGAGCAGATGCAGCACGGATACTGGTACCCCCCCAGCTATAGATCTGGCGCATGGAAACAAAGGGTCACACTCCTGACTTGGCTCTTGAACATCCCCAAGCCACGGTGCACAGGACTGCCTGTGAGCCGGGACACCTTACAGCTCCCACAACAGCGCCGAAAAGACTTGAAATAAGGGGAGGTGAGTGAATCCACTCGGTTGTCTTCACAACCCTCGTTCCCTGCAACGGAAGTCCTCCCCAATGGGGAACAAACGGCTCAGTGATGGAGGACTGAGACACATGGCCTCCATGAAGATGACCTGGTGCCTGCTGGAGTCTTCCATCGATCCTTGAAAGGGATCCACCACTTGTGCAGAGGTATACTGATGCCCTGTATACTGCTAGTGCGCCCTCTTCCGCTGAGGAAGCTCTGGCCTCCTCTGCCAGTATGAACACTCTGTCGTCAGCCATGGCAGCTTCTTCACCTCCATCATTTACTGAGCCAGCAGGGGGCACCCTCAGTAGGGGCAGGGGGAACTCTTGGAACGCTGTGTTTCACCCCCGCACACCAGAGGCTTGCAGAGCACCTCTGGCAACCCTGCTGCCCACTGCCGCTCCTGACCGGGTGCCACTTCGAGCTTCGTGCCTGACCTGCTGCATGAGCACCTCCTGCTTCGGACAGCCCGGGTCTTCACGCCCAGCTGGTGCAGGCTTTGCAACCCCTGTTCCCTGAAAAGGAACTCAGTCACCTCCCCCTTTAATTCCTTACACTTCTATAGCGCTTTTCTGGACACTCCACTCAAAGCGCTTTATAGGTAATGGGGATCCCCTCCACCACCACCAGTGTGCAGCCCCACCTGGAGGATGTGACAGCAGCCAGGGTGCGCCACAATGCTCCCCACACACCAGCTCTCAGTGGGGAGGAGAACGGAGTGATGAAGCCAGTTCAGAGATGGGGATTATTAGGAGACCATGACTGGTAAAGGCCAGAGGGAAATTTGGCCAGGATGCTGGGGTTATACCCCTACTCTTTTTGAGAAACACCCGGGGATTTTTAATGACCACAGACAGTCAGGATCTTGGGTTTTATGTCTCATCCGAAGGACAGCACCTTTTTACAGTACAGTGTGCCTGTCACTGTACTGGGCATTAGGACCCACACAGACCTCAGGGTGAGCGACCCCTACTGGCCCCACTAACACCTCTTCCAGCAGCAGTCTTAGTTTTTGCCAGGAGGTCTCCCATCCAGGGACTGGCCAGCCTCACACCTGTTGAGCTTCAGTGGGCTGCCAGATGTGATTTGCAGGGTGATATAGCTGCTGGCATTTCTAGTCTCTCACAGCTGACCGGCCCATTTAGGCTAAAATTGGCCGAGAGCAAGCGATCATTCAGCCTTTCAAGGGAAGGGGAGAGCCCTGCGATATCCCAGCTGGGCCCCAGGGGCCTGATCTGGAGCAGGTCTTCAGTACTGTACACTGGCACACATCCCCACTGAGATTTCTGCATACTGAAGGCCTGAACTCACCGGGGTGCTAAGTGATACCTCTGCCTGCTCGGCCCTCTGTATCTCGGTCTGTGTCCCCGTTCTGCAGAGAGGAAGACAAAAAGGCATCAGCGAAGGAAGTGCCGTCCATGCACCAGGAATGAGGACAGAAAGAACTTTCCGAAACTTTTTTTTCCATCAGGGGGTTAGGAGGCCTTTTCGACTATAGGGGTAACACTCTAAATTTGTACTGCATGTTGTGTGACAGTGTAAAATGCTTCACACAACAAATGACAGTTCCTGAAAAACCAAAAGCGCTGCACGTGGCTAATAAGGTTTTTGGATTGTGTGTGGTAATTATCACCACCATCCCAAGGAAAACCTGTTTTAATTTTGAAACAATAACAAAAAAGGTTATTATTTTTAGGTTTTGGAACAACATCATACCCTGCAAAAAGGAATTTCCTGTACATTTTTGTGACTGCTGTCTATATTTTTAAATTTTTACCTGGACGCAGAGTACCAGTGTGCCACCGGAAGAAACGTTTATACAACCCTGACGATATTAAGTTACTCTGAAATTTACTGCAGTACAGTGACAATGACAAAAAATATCAGCTTCTATGTTGACCAATCACTTCTAACCCAAAGTCCTATTTTTACACATGATGCATCGATATTTGCAGAGTCGTTTCTCTTATGTGAGCTTCACTAAACCCAGCAGCATGATAGGCTCAACACACATTCTCAAGGGCTGCATGAAAGAAGTGGCCTCAATTTGCTAGTAAAACTATTACTGCATTTTCTGTCCAAAACCATTTAGGTTTTTTTTGCCATCATGTCCAAATTTGGACTTTAATGTTATTGCTGCTGGGAATTTAAAAATCTGTGTGCCTCTTTTTGGGTCTTGGTCAGAAGCACTGAGCACTGACGTTGCAGAGAAATTGAGCAGATTTTGAATATGGTTACATTTTATTTGCAAATCTACAAAACTTCTGTGGAAATGTCACATTCTATGTAATCATGCTGAATGAAGGCGTTATTTTTTAAAGGGATCAATGCCTCTTTTCTTAAGGCTGAATTATTAGAGAAGACAAAAATACAGATACCACCACACTTTCATACTGCGATTCTTTTTTAGCTGAATTTAAGAACAGCAGCTTGCTGTTAAAACAACTGATTCACACAAGTGGTGCTAATAGTGTTAAGGACTATCAATTACAAAGAAAAATACCAAAACAGCCAGGTGGTGGCTAAAATGTTAAATTCTAATTAAATATTTACATGTGTTTGATAAATGGAATATTGCAATCAAAATGCACCTCCAGCAGAGACGATACCTTCAATGTACCTATGGGTTGTGATTGCAGCTCCCTCCTATAACCCTCCTCCAAACTCCAAAACCTACCAGTTTCCGAGTCACGGAGCACCTTCACAATCTGGCTGGCAGAAGGCAGCCAGTGTCTCCTACCTTGCTGAGGTACACTGTGGCCCCTGTACTGAAACCGGCTGCTGGGAGCAGAGAACTGGCCTGGTTCTGGCTCTCTGAAGTGCTGGGGTCTGCGTTCTCTGGACTGGCATCCACCTCCCCTTGGTTTCACTGAGACATCGAAACATTTTAATGCGGTTTTAATTATACAGCCAGGACTCCCTGCATAAATATTCGCTGCCGGGCAGAAACACGAAGAATCGCTCGAAACTCGAACCATGCAATTCCCTGCTCGCCAGGCTCCGCCATCATCTCCCCATGGAATCTGGTGACTGATTACTAGTTTTGCGTTGAGCCAAATTAAAGACATACCTTTCCATTTATCTGCTGTGCCTTCATGGAGATTCTTTTCGTAAACTATACGCAGCTCATAATGCCAAACATTCCCGACTCATGGACAAAGTCTAAATATTCTGCCCTGACACGAAATGTTAAAATATTTCCTTTTGTTCCCTTGTGTATATGGGAACAAAATTGTATATTTTCAGAAGTCTCTTTTTTTCTCCTTATTTTCACTTGGGGACTGAGAGTGTTGGCAAGTCACTCCAAGGAAAACAGAGGCGGTCAGCTTACGCTCGAACGTGATGGGTCGGAGAGGTGACAGAGGAGAGCTCAAGAGAAGGGGAGCTCTGAACCTGCCCTCTTTGGGACAAGACAGGAATCGAACCCGCCCTGCTCAAACCATCCAAGCAACCCAGACCTGTCTGAAGGATATACTTCTCAAAAAATATTTCAAATTGCAATCAATAACTCTGTATAAGGTCTGATCTGCAGTAAACATTTTTTAAAATTTGTTTTTCTTGTAATGGGAAAAACAAAGACTGGAATGTGCTCCAAAGCTGCATGAATTGTCTGGCGATGTATTCCTAGGAAACAAATTAAATTAGGTTGCAGTGGATCACCACTGACAGGCCACGGAGCAGGAGCTTGTCAGAAGCTTTTCTGGACAGGTAGCTGCAGTATATACTGTACCTGTTGCACCCTGTTGGACAGGACGTATCTTGAAAGAGGTAGAGGTTTGATATGCAGTTATGAAAATAGTTTTCCCTATTATAGAGGCACATAAATGTTAATAAAATTGTTACCAGGGAGTTCAGTTTTAATTAATTTAGACAGAAGTAAAAGATAAGGTTTTTAGTGAAAGCTAAGTGCAATGCAACCATTTTCATTCTTCATTCGCTTGTGTGCATGCAAGCGAGGGTTCAAAACTATTATCCTGAACAAGTAAAAAAAAAAAAGTACATAAAAAGACTACATAATTGATCATTGTGGCTTTAAAAAATGACTGACGAGATCATAAAACATGCTTACTGGAAGCGAATTTCTAAGTAGTTATTTCTAAACAAAGGCCTTTGAAAACGAACATCGTGAGGCTGTTAAATTCTGGACTTATCACATTTCTTTCAGTTGCAGTGGCTGACATCCAGATTATGATGAGGTTACCTAGCAACCTGAACCATTGCATGTGTATTTGTACACTATCTCTACTAAACAAAAAAAAAAGATCGTGGATATATTTGCGTGGAGAATTCCAAGTATTTTCAAGTAAAAAGCATCAGGACAAGAAAAGCGAAACTGGACAAAAATGTGTAAAGCACATGAAATATTGTCCACATGTTCCTAATAGTAAGAGCACTGCCAGATGGATACAATTAGAATGTTAAAAAGACTTTTTAAGCAAGAATTCTTTTTTTATAAAACCACAAGACTCTGGATGCTAGTTTAAATGAAAAAAAAGGTTGTAACAGCCCCCACATTATAATTTTGCTGTCTTGTTATGTTACTTAATATAGAACATATCCTAAAAAAACAACCCAGAATTATTCTAGTTATGACAAAGCAATGCTGAAAATCCCAAAATAAGTGCAAGTGAAACTTTTAAGAGATGCACATTAACATTTGTTTAACCAGAGTGCCTTCACGTCTTGCACATACAACAACGCTACACCGCCCCACCTGCTTCCAGACAGCAATGCTGTCCTGGGTGGCCCTGAGGAAGACTCCGCTAGGTTAAAATGTGAATTTCTGGGACTTGTGGGAACTTCTCACACAAAGGCAGCACAAAAACACTATTCGCAGTTTCCATCTGTTTCCCACTGGGATGCACAAACTGTCCACTCATCCTGACCTTTCAACTATGATGAGGCTGTTTGAAACACTGACAATGTCCACTAGGCACCAAGCCAACATCAATAATAATTATGGAAAAAAAAAAGAACTTTTTGGAATCCTTGTTCGGTATGTATTTTTTTTATTTTGGAAATGAACACAAGGTTGAAGCAAAACACCGGCTGGATCTACTGGAAACGGCAAAGCTGACTGGCTTTTCAATGGAAATCTTCTTACCTGGTACAGACGCCCTCGGATTGCTCTGGACAACTCGATTTCTCCTCCCACAGGCGCTGGTGACGAGGGCCTTCAGGTGACCAAACTGTGACACCCAGCACTCCTGCAGGAACCCAACACAGCAACAAGGTCATCTTCACCCCTCTCTCCCTCACCCCCCACGTGCAGGGTGCTGTTCCCACGAACACATTCCTTGTGCGACTGGTTATTCCTGCACATAAGGTGAATGGTAAAGCAGAATGGGAAATCTGAAAGTGGCAGCACCACAGTGTCTCAGAAGAAGCCATGCTGTTCGGAATCCCTCAGACTTGGCTTAAGGGCGAAGGTGCAACTTGATAACTGGTTTCTGACACGGAATTCTGAAACTGAGATAAGGAGACAAATGGCATCACTGAACGTCCACGACAATTTGTGTTTCCACTAAGCTGCACCTGGAAGACCAAACTCAACGATTCTGATCATTATATTGAACAGCACTGCCCACACACAGTCCTTGTTTTTTTATTACCCAATTATTTAACCACTTCATTTAAATTACCCTTTCATTTGTAAACTGGGAGTTAACTTATTTCACATAAACCGATTCTTAATGATTCTTTTCTGTTTCTACATCATACACCACTGACGAGCAAAAAACGACTGATCTAAACCGCTGAGTAAATTTTATACTTTTATTATATATAAAAATATCTATTTAAAAACTCCTTCTATCAATTTCCATGTGTCTTGAAAATCGAAACCCAAACAGACACTACAAACTCCTCTTCTCGTCAGAAAACAGACTGAGGACAGCCATCATACAGCAATTTCTTCCACAATATGCTGACGAGTGTCAGGTGGGAAAGTTTGCGGCAATTATTGGCAATAAAAAACAATTTAAATATTAAAAGCAATAACTGTCTTGACCTCTGATTGACCATGAAGTTACTGATGGTGAATTCTACATTTTGCAGCTCCTACCCTGCACTGGGCAAAAGCTGCAAAATGCATGCCTAGTGTTAAAATATCAACTTCCCTGATCTGCACAAAAATCAGAAAGATCCCATTTCTCACAGTTCCTTCCAGGAGATCGTCTTCGCTGCATCCCGAATGTGCCTGCAGGTACTTGGAATGAAACAGCAGCCCATCGAACACTTTCCAAGGCATCAGATCCTCCATCTTTAAAGGAAAGCCACTCGCGCTGTTGGCCGCTATCAGGATGGTCAGCCCGCGCACGAACAGGGAGCCCAGCTCAATGGCTCTGGGGTCCACAACCGGGAGCTGCAACACAAGCACTCAGCTTCAGAAGGGTGTTACTGAGCAACCAGGGCTGGCCCTGCTAAAAACAAATGTTCCACAGGTTTGCGAACAGGTGAAACCTGCAAGCAGCTCAGCTCTGCCTTCCAAATGACCTGAATGTTATCACCCATATTCCAATTTATCGGCTCAATCTGAGAGAACCAGATGCCGCGGCTCCAAGCTCATGGGCTAGCTCATCTGTGGAATGCTAGTTAGTTGGGAAGGAAATGTGCTCAAGTGCAGCCAGGGGTAACAAAGAGACAGATGTCTTCAAGTTTATCCTGTTCATTTTCACCTGGGCTGTCAGCAAAGGGGAGATAAGAGAGCAGATAATCCAGGGTTATTCAAAACCAGTGCTTGTGGCCAGGTGAAAGATCTGCCTGCCACCTGCCTGCACTGCAAACAGATTTAAAAAGCAAACAGAAAGCAAGAATAAGAACATTAAAAGCTTAAACCATTTCTGATGTTGATTTAGGGTTTTTTTTCCAAAACTTCTGCTTGCACTCTGTCATTTCATCTTCTGACAAACCAAATACTAAACTTCTTTCCCTTCACTATACTCTCAGGTTTTAAAACCATCTGCTGACACCTGAACCCCGCATTCTGCAGCTGCACACCTGGCAATATCTGAGCTGCAATATATTTTTATGTGCCTAACTGATTGACTGAGGACGTGCCGAATATAATCTCCCATTAAAATAATTACTAGAAAACGCTGGATCTGTTACTCAGGTTTCTTGCACATACTGCATTGTTAGCACTCAATATAAAGATAAAAGGCTGCAGGAAATGCAGACACCTAGCACAGCTAGAACAAAAAACAGTCGTCACCCAATTAGCTGAAGTAATTGAAACAAGTCTAAAGGTGCAGTGCTAGAAACAGATTATAGAGGTGCAGAAAACAAGGAAAATTGTTTTTTTCTTTCTTTTAAAACACAACTGGGGACCTTCGGCCAGATTCTACCTGTCGACAGAAGAGATCTGTAGATGTTAAAAATGACTGCGTATCAGACACATCTGCAAAAGACCACCAAGGTCACCAGTCTAAGGCAGATGTGTGAGGGAACAGCTATTGATTGAAGGCAGTCTAACTCCTTTTCAAGCGCGCTCAACGTCTTGTGGAACCTAAGCACGCATTCCTAGACCCTGGGAGATTTTCTGTGTGGAGGTACACTGGTTAACCAGTGCGCCAGGGGAACATGAGTCCGCTCTGCACCCGGCGGCTTCTGCAGGCACAGATGGAGGAAGCACTCCCTCACTGTGTGACACAGCGCCACGGAGGGGCAAAAGAGCATCGGCGAGGCTTTGGAAAGCTACAGTTTAAAAGCCCCCCCCCACCATCTGCCTTCCTTCGCACACATGTAACAGTAGCATTCCTGGAGGTGGCGACAATAGCTGTGGAACAGGTGTGTGCGCCCCAGACGCAGACGAGAGGCAGGTGCTCGTAACGCACTTCACTCTGTCCACCAGCAGGCAGGCAGGCTGTGAGCTCCCCCTCCCCCCCTCCTCCTCCTCCTCCTCCTCCTCCTCCTCGCCCCAGCAGACACCTGCTGCCGCTGCACACTCTCTGGAGACACAGAGACTGCCGCCTCTCCCCACCCGTCCTGAGCAAACAGCAAAGTCCTTCACCTGTGAGCTGATCCATATCTGAGCGCATTACGGTCATCCCCTCGCCTCTCGCTCTGAAGTGGCCTCAGGTGCCGTGTGACGACGCTAATGGCCGTAGGACTGAAGGGGTTTAAGCTTTCTAATGAGAGATGACTTTCAGACATGAACATTTTTGGAGAATTCTTTCAACTCACACCAGAGTCAATGATCGCTGGTTTTTAAAATGATTGGGATGATAGTTTATGCTGGTTTCTAGTGGGCAAGACCGACATGGAGGTCTTGTTTATGAGGGTTTTTCAGTTTTGTTCTTGTAAACTTTGCCAGGCAACTGTAATTGTAAACGGACCTCTGAAGTATGATTTTTTTCAAACGAATGTGACATTTCTAGCCATGTTGATCTGGATGACGTGATGTACGCTGCAGTCTGGCATGACACAGGGGCAGGGAACACTGTACCATACACTGCTAACGCTAGAGGACGTTTCGAAGTAAGGTGTACAACTCGGTAGCCTCTTTCATTTTGGCCTAACTTTTTATGAATGCCACATTCAACCTACAAATGCATAAAAAAGTCACAAGTTAAGATTCAGCATGCAAAAATGAAAGAAAATGGAGGTTAAACACATTAATAAAAAAGTCCTGTTTATGATTATCTTGCATGAGGTTTCAATCTGCTCGGATTCTGTACTGTTGGGTATCAGTGTTTGTAGGGGGGGACAGTGTTACATTTGAAATGGTAAAACCACAGTTCAAGCTCAGGCTGCGGGGTCCAAAATAGAATACAGAATGGGCTTAAATTAAGCTGCTGCTGGTAAATTGAAGTTGAAATAGCTCTGTGGTCTCAAATGGTACTTTGAAATTGAGGCAGAAGACAGGCTCTCTCTTAAGGCTCCTTTTCAGGTTTAAACCTCAATTACACCAAAATGTAAAATGCTGCAATTCTCCCAAAATGATTTCCATGCTTTTTATAGATGAGGAACAATAACTATTATTGTTTAACTACTCTTTTGAAAAAAACAAAAAAAAATGCCTTTGGAATTTTTATTTGTACCACTGCTAAGGTTTGGTTCTGCTGAACACAATGCAATACTTTAACTTTTTAGAAAACTAGTTGCACAAAGGGGCAGTTCCTATTTTTTTTATTATTCGGTTTCTCACTTGTTTCCTGTCAGTATTGATTGTGTCTATGGCACAGAACACTGCCTGCAGTTGTAGTACATTATTTCTATAAAACTTACACCTGAGACAGTTTTCACAAATCTTTCAATTGCACAGCTTCTTAGATCTCGAATGGAGATTTGTTGAAGAGCATTGCAACACACCCACTTGTAATTCTCAGATGAACTGCTAATATTAATCATAATGAAGGGCCTTTATACCTCTGTCTGTGAATAAATATATACAGCTTGGTCCAGTTCCAGTGACAAGTTTTAAAAGTCAAGGACTGCTCTTCGCCTCCATTAACACTGAATGAGTAGAACCTCACATTCGGGAGTAAATCAGAGCAGCTTCTGAGTTATGAAGAGTCATTTAGGTTTATTTTTCCTGGTCTCCCAGCTGAGAGCAGAATCACTGTGTAAGATAACACTCTCACATTGACCTCAGACTGACTGTGGGCTTCAACGCGCCCTTAAGGATCTGGGTGTACTCATTTCCAATGAAGAAGAGCAGGTGGACCAACACACTCATCAGATGGAGACATGATAAGCTAAAAACAGACTGATTCTGGGACTTGGAAACATTATACTGCCAACAGACCCTGATAGCTGTGTAAGTGAGCTCCTGAAAATGTGTTACTTAAAAAAGAGCCACAACATACACTTAATATTAAAAACACGAGAAAAGGGAAGGGGGAACTAACATGAATAAGAACGTAAGAAAAATTACAAATGAGAAGCGGCCATTTGGCCCATCTAGGTGACTTAGCAGTAGCTACAGAGATCGCGCTCACCCAGCCATGTCTTCAGAGAAGCAGTGTTTCAGCTTCAACAACATGGGTGGCTTGCGCCGTACCCCTCTGCTTCATAACGCTCAAGACGTCCTTTGGGCTACATTTTCAATGCCTCTCAGGATTCTGAATAATTGAATTCAATAATTGAATAAAAAAGACTTAAGGTGTTTAGTGGATTTCGCTTATCAGGGTAGGACATTCCCTTAAGCCCAGGAACAATACTCTCTATGCAGTGCTGTACTGCTGTAAAATTATAATGGACACCGAAGGCAGCAGTCACGTTGACTCTCTGATGGTCTGTGACAGCAGAGGCAGAGTTCATGTGCATCCTGATGCTTGCAAGGACAATGCAGGATTTTGCCCTCAGCCCTGCCAGGGGAGAAACCCAGAGGGATCAGCCACTATGGCATGCAAGGAATTAACAGAACAAACACCAGCAGACTCTGTGGTTCCCCTATTCCAGGAGGATGGCTGCTAATGACGGGTGGCGACAGTCTGTACACACCGTGCTGTTGTCCTTCCTGGCTATCCTGTCAACACAAGTGTTCAGAAAGTGTGCCTCTATCTCATCCCCTGCCTAAGGGTACACAATTCACTAAAGCTCTGGAAGCACAGCTCAGCGATTAGGAGTCATTCAACATCACAGACAGCTTGACAAAGGCTATTAATTGCATTTTCTCTAAGTCCTTAAATCACCAGGCAAATCATTAACCACAAATACACTTTCCCACAACAAGGTGACGTTAAAATACACTGCACATTCCCAAATAAAAGATACAGGTTGCGCGAGTGTGAAAATAACTGCTAGGTATGTTCAAGTTTGAATATACTTTGAATATACAGTTTTTTCTCCATGCATTTATTAGGAATATGAAGTTAAATGGTTAAAAACCTCAGAGTTTTGCCATTTTGGGGTCTGCTTTGTCAATTTAAACCTGGGAGCTATGATGGTTTTGACTATACAGTAATACAGCTCAAAATCACAACTGAGACGTGCAAACAACACCTCGTATTTGAAAATCATTTAATCCTGTGCCCTGGAAAGAATGTTGCAAAAGTGACTGGGGGGCGGACAGGTGATATCTACACCCCCAGTTTTCCAGACAAGGAATGAGAAAAAAAGATGCTCTCTTTATTCCTCTCATAATTTATTTTTGTACCTTTATTCCTCCCTGAATTCTTCTAATACTAAAAAGTGTTGCTGTCCTGCAGCTGGCACCTCCACTTGTCAAGCAGAAGGAGTGTTTAAAAGACATCATAAAGATGTTGTGCAATAAGCATTAATAAACATGTATCAGACGACATGATATAGTTGTGAGCGGTACTCTCACTCTTTTCTGGGTGAAAAGGTGTCGCCTATTCATGGCTGCAGTTTAAACCTGTGTCCTCTGGTCCGTGGTTCACTGTCCATTTGGAAGAGAAACACTGTGAGCATTCTGAATTCTTCTAATACTACTTGTTGTTGTGACTACATAACGCACTACAGAATTTCTGCACTGCAAAACCTTGAACCTGAACCTGTTGTCGATACAAATGTCAGCTGGTCTCTAGGCACGTGGCAGCAGATAATCAAATCAATTTTAGCAATGCACACACAAAGCATAGACAGAGTGCCCTGATTTAATGCAAAAATATTTAATAGGAAGTGATTTTATGATGTATAACAAGATAGATGCATGTCTGGGTGCTGTATAACTGAGTGCTAACAGCACCTGACTTGGTAGAATTTGATAGAAAAGGCACATGCAGCAGAAGTATTCCAAATTCCATACCTTAATACCAGCGAGCTCTTCATCTGTCTTTTCACGAACACAGACAGCCTGGCTCACGTAAGCATTTACATCTTCCAGGCAAAGGCTTCTTTCCTGGAACAGAGGTTTGGAGAGATGAAAGACGTTCACTTTCATTTTGAGCCCCGGTACATAAACAGGTCAACTCCCAAAGCTTTTTCTGGCAGGGCAAGACTGACTCCACCACGTCTTATTTCATTAACCCGCGGCAGATCTGTCCACACGATGCTGACGCCAGCACAACATTTCTGCCACACAACAGCAAACCATAGAAAAGACTGACAATTGGTCATAATGAACTTCAGAGTTGGAGCTCAGATTCAGCCCTGAAGCAAACTGCTGGAAATATAACTCTAAAGGTGTTCTCATATAGGAACCAGCAAAGGTTTATTCCATGCTAAAAAGAGAAGAAAAGGAACACAACGTTTCGGCCGTGGAGCCTTCTTCAGGTCAGAGCCTTCTTTGGCATTCTAATACAGGTTCAGAATATAAGCAATTTCCAACCAGGTAGTCGTAAGGAGTATTGATACCTACTGGAAATGAATCAAGTGACCATGTAAAAAATGATATTGGGAAAAGGAGATTAGTTTTTGAAGATGTCCCAGTTTCTCACGAGCCACTCGCCCCCTGGGGATATGGAAAAGCTAGTGTGGTTGGTGAACAGAACGGGCGCCTGCAACACCAGGCATGTCCCCTACCTGCAAGGCAATGTAGGTGACCAGGCAAACGACAGCCGCTAAAGGGGACTCTAGCTTCTCCAGCTCTTCTGCCAAGTCCAACAGGTCAAAAACCGCCAGGAAGGTGGAGAAACGGAGGGCTTTTGTCTCCGGGGCCTCGCTGAACCACAGAACTTTCAAATCCGGGGTTCCCTCTTTAGAAAGAAATATAACAAAATGATTAGATCTTTAAGAGCACAATAGCAGATGCTTTGATCTGAGGGTGATTCCAGAGGCTGGGGGCTGAGCTAGGAATTTAAAGCTATTGCCGTGAGGGCTCCACATGCCTCTGAGTTTTAGGTCTCATTGGGATACAAGTAGGCTGAATACACAGCTAAGAGTAACACACACCGAATGCAGCCGGGCTCCCAGTTAAAAGCCCAGTGATTTAAGCACTGAACCCCCTAGACTGTTATTTGTATTACAGGACAATATTTTCAAGATGATTTAAAAAACATCAGCCCCCTTCATTCTGAAAGTGCGATGTAAAATGTAAAGCTTGATATACAGAAATTGGCAAGGAAGATATCAAAAGGAGAATTTTCTTTTCAGTGTAGCACAGCTTTGGGGAAAAAAAAAAGGTCACTTTATCATAAAGCATGAACTGTATCTGAACATTAACGTGGGCTTTTCTGACATTATTCTGTCCCAGAACCATCTTAGAGACGAAGCTGTGACAACTTTATTTTCAACAGGCCAACCAAAAGAAAAAAATAATATTCTGAGGTAGCAGGATGCAAATGTACAATCTATGTTATCAGTCTGTTAATTCGTGGATGCAGCTGTAAAGGATAACCTAGGTACAAAGACACATCTTTCATTTCAGCTACTAAGCAACTATGTTTATCACTTTGTTTGCCTAATTAGTGGGTGAGCAGAGATAACTCACACCTTTCTTAGCAACCAGATTCTGTTCCTCTTTCAGTGTGTTTTCAAAGCCTTTGAGCAGCATCTGATAAGATAAACTAGTTTAAACATTGCTATAACAGCCTTTTAGCAGCTCTGTTAGTAATCTCTAATCGCCTGACAGGATAATCAGAGCCCATTGAAGGAGTCACTTCAAGCCTGCAGGGTCCTAGGAAATTGCAGGATTCGCTGTTCCGCTGCAAGCTGAAGACTACCTGGTTGAGGATTCCCAGCCCTGGCTCCGGCGGTGCCCTGCCAGTTATGTCTCTGTCACCTAGTGACAAGACTCTCAATGTCTGTATCTCCTATCACAAACGGGACAGAGCCTTAGCATCTTCTTTGAAAGGACAGTCTATCTGATTCTGTGGCTGTATCTGTGGGTGCTGCTGGAAGCCGGCACTAAGCCATTTTGAGCTCAGACATGCAGAGAAACACAACAGCAAGGACCTTCTTTACAACATTCTGCAGGGGTGCAGAGGAGCACTACCTAAGCTACATATCCTCTTAAAAACACTGGCTACTTTCAATTCTGAAACAGCAGTTGCAACGGATGTTTGTCCAAAAATTGCTATTTGGCTGGTGACTTGAAAGGAATACAGCCACATCCTCACGTGCAAAATGAAAAGCATTGGGTACAGTACATCTCAGTTTCCTTATTGATGTTTCTCTCCTATTTTGCCCAAGTATGTTGCCCCACATTGTAAAGTTTCCATGCAAGTGATCCTGTCTCCAGATGTCTCTTGCATCATTCCTAACCTGCAGAAGAGGACAGTGGAGTCACCCAGGCCTACTCCGCTGCACACAACAGACAGCATGAGACACAAGGAGACGGGCACGACTGCATGCTGCGACGTTTTTCAAAGCTGCACACCCCACTGGGTATCTGACCAAATCGAGAAACGGAGGGGTAAGAGTGTCAACGACATCGTGCCTCGTACCCGGGAGGCTCAGGGGAGCGGGCGTGACGAGGTCTGGCTGCCGGAGCGAGTTGCCACGATAGACGAACCACTCCTTCACCGCAGGGGCTGGACCGCTGTCGCCTGAGAGCCGAGAGACAGAAGTGTGTCATGACAAAACAATAGCGCGCACATTAGGCCGGGCTCCTCACAGTCACCGCACGTGTGGGTGAAAAACAATAGAGCTTCTAAAAATGGAGCATCAGACAGGAGGGGAAGCTGCACGGGGAATAATTGAGACAGGATAATGAAAAGAGACCCAGCGCTGAGCTACAGCTTCTCTCACACGTCTCTCCAGGACAAATAATTCCTTACACTTATATAGCGCCTTTCCGGACACCCCACTCAAAGTGCATTACAGGTAATGGGGATTCACCACCACCAGCGTGCAGCCCCACCTGGATGATGCAACATTGATGATGCTGTACCAGTACGCTCATCACACACCAGCTCTCAGTGGGGAGGAGACCAGTGATGAAGCCAATTCAGAGATGGGGATTATTAGAATTTGGCCAATACACCAGGCTGGACACACCTATTCCTGAGTCAGCCTGGGAAAGGATACATCCCGACTACTTTACAGGTTGACTTTTAGACACACAGAGCACTTGACACCTCTCTGTAGCCACACAGTCACCTCTGTGGTGCCGACTTCATTGCTCACCCACACAACGACATGAACAAAAAAGTTCACCTTGCTTTACTGCAAAGAGGATTCCGTATATGCGTTCTCTTGCGGGTCGGAAAGTGATTGCCTGCCCAGGAAACTCGGTGTCCTCTTCATCTTCAAGCGTGTTGCTACAGTCAACAACACCAGCAGACAGAACGTCGAAAACCATAAAAGATTCAGCTCTTACGTGTTGTTCTTTGGCTGCCTTAAAAACAAACAAACAATAACCAAATAAGCCTCATTTCATTTTTTTTTCTACTTCATATTTTTGCATTTTCAGGGCAGATGAACACAACTGACAAGCATGAACGAATACGGCTGGTTCCAAAAAGGCATCTGGTGCATTTTTGGTACCTCTAAATGTATTAAGAGTACGAGCAACCACAGTGGCAAAATCTTTCTCAATATTGTGCCAAGGTTACAGTATTTGTTTTCATCAACATATAAAAAAGGATGTTTAGTTGGATTTCCATATAAGCTGGAGTCGGGCTGTAAATTCGTTACAGTTTTCTTACAACTTAACTGAAATGTAACTATAATCATACGTCTCCTTTCTGCTGACACTAGAACAGCTGTCGCAAAGGTTGCTGCAGGGCTGTTTAAGAGCTGCCCCATTAAAGGGATGCACGCGCAGATATGTGACAAGTTCTGAAGGCAGCTACTGGGAACAGGCATGTCTACGTTCAGAGGTTCAGTGGCGCTGATCTTTTCTCATGAGGAAACAAGAGCAACAGCAATATTTCACAGGGCAGCTCCCTGCAAGGTTACCTGCAGAACATCATGACTGGAATACCTTTCCAGAGAGTTCATGGATTCAGAGGAAGGGGGCTCACTTCCAGAGGGAACCCACGGGGACTGCTGATTGGGAAGGAGGTACATCTGCACTCCTTGCTCCAGTACAGCCTGGTCTGCCTCGGATAAAGGCAGCTCGCTGATCCCACCTCTTGAGCAGCAGTGACTAGAGATGAAGTCGGCCACTGCCAACACTTTATCTGCAGGCGTCGAGGCCCCTGGGTGTTTCTGCCGATAGGCTGCCAGGCACTTGTTCCGCAGTCCCTCCAGGCGGCCCTGCGGCACGACGTCGTTGCCCAGGATGCAGGCAAGAAGCGGGAGGTCGCTCTGGCGGAGCCGCAAGGCCCGGCACAGATTTTCCCGGGAGAACAGAACCGTCTCCATGCGCTCGAGCCGGAGCTGGCTCACGGAGAGGTAGGGAACGCTGTCGTAGATGAGGAAGTCCGTGTCCTGCCCCAGGATGCCCATGCAGTCGTGCAGGGCAGCGTAGCCAGCGATCTCGTAGTCGGCCTCGCGCACGGAGCACCGCGTCTCCGCGCCCAGGGCCTTCAAGGCGAATCTCGAAAACGTAGCCAGGCCCGAGGGGAGGCAGAACATCTCCCTGCCCGGCTGCCGGCCGTGGGCCTTGACGTAGCGGAAAGCGCCGCGGATCTCCCGGCCGTGCCGCAGCCTGCGCTGCGCCCACTCCGCCCTCTTGGCCTCCTCCACCGCGCCGTCGAAGACGAACACCAGCCGGATGCCGGCCTCCGCGAAGGCCCCGGCGAAGCTCTCCAGGACGCGCGTGTACTCCCGCCACTGGCCGCCGTGGACCCAGGCAGCGCAGGAGTACCAGTGTCTCAGGCACGCCGTCCCGTCCACCACCAGCGTCGGGGGGCGGCCGGGCCGGGCTCGGCGACGCTGCTCGGCCATCTCCTTCAAGTTCACTGCCACGCACGTCCCGGGACAGGCGTTTTCCACGAAGCCCTGCAGGCCCTTCACTCCCATCGCGGGGACTGCAACCAAAAACGATTTAGAAGAACAAACAGGAAATGGGCCGGATGAGTCGGCGGCAACGACGTCGCTGGGAGGAAGGAAGCCTTCTTGGTCCGGCTTCCCAGAGGAACGAGCACGGACGGCCAGCGTGAAAGAGGAACTATTTTCATATTTCAGGGTTACTGCCTATCTAACCACAATGAAAGTAAAATGCACGCAGTCATGTGTGAAACCTCTGGTTTACATCACCAAATAGACACAATTTCCAGGTACACGCAGCAGTATGTTCTGTAATTCAGAACGAGGCAATAAAACTTCCAGTGACGTGATGCTGCCTTATAAGATAAGATTAAATCACTTTATTGGCCCTATACAATTTCTTGCATTAGGAATTTGTCTTTTCGCATACCCCAGCTTGCTCTCCATGAGACACACAGACAGGGAGAGAAGCTGGGGGTCAGAGCACAGGGTCAGCCATTTATACAGCACCCCTGGAGCAGCTGGGGTTAAGGGCCTTGCTCAGGGGCCCAACGGAGAAGGATCCCTTTGCCGCCCGCGGGATTTGAACCGGCAACCTTCCAGCCACGGGCGAAGATCCTTAGCCACAGTGCCACATTGTAAACAAGCAGGCTTGTGAATACATCTCTTTTAATCCAATAGAAATATTGCTTTTGATTTCAAGACAGTTTTGCTGACAAATGCCACGTACTTAACTCTGCATGCAGATCACATTGGAACATTTCTTTCCGGAAAATGTCTTCTGCACATCCTGTACTTAATTCTCTCGTACATCGCATTACATTAGTCATCACAGGGACTAGTGAGCAGGAAAGGCCGCATCGCGTCACAATTCGTGGGACCTCGACTGCGAGTTTGCGACAACGTGGCCACTTACAGCACTTTCACAAAGTTGTGTGCTTAATTCAAAATTTGCACAATTTTTCTATACCGTCAATGAATTTTGTTACCGAGATTTTAGAACACGTCTGAGTAATTGGGACTGCAGTTCCCCTTTAACTGATACTTGACATGTCAGATAAGAAAGCCCGACGCGCAAGTCTTATATTTCATACACAAATCTCTCACACAAACACTAGCAGAACCTTTGAAGCAGAGACATTGTGCTACAAAAATAAACAGGATAATATGGGATACTGCCGTCGTTTGACACAGAGCATTAAGACAAAGCGCAGGGAAATGGTTAAAACACAGCAAAAGTAGCGACAATTTAGAGGAAAAAAAACACTGGGCAGAGGATGGTGTACAGTATATGTAAATTGTTTTCAGATTTTGATAACGTGTATGTTTTGCATGTGTGGAAGTGTCTTCCTGCTGTTTATTCATTTCAAACTACATTGTAAATCCTGTGCAGGAGTAGGTCTCTTTACTGTGGAATTGCTCGCTTGAAGGGGGATAAGGACTCTCCAGGGCCGAGTTTGATGGACGGTGTAATACGATGTTGTGAAGACTGAATGAAACCTGGTCAGGAAAGTGGTCTTTGCACTGGGAATTCTGTAAAATAACTGAGTTCCATTATTTGTTTGCTGAAGGGAAGGCACAGCAATGATCAACTCTAAAAAAACAAACAGCACTTTTCCTTTCTTTTCCAGCCAGAGCTCAAGGTCCTAACTTCAGATGCCTAACTGAAATTTAAAGACCCTTTGAAACTTCAAATTAACTAAAACAATAGACGAGCTGAAAACGCAGTCTCTTGAGGGCCTATCAGCAACCTTTTAAGCACATACCGTGATCACCCATCTGCTCAGTTTACCACTTCCCACGTCTTCAGCAAATGGGACGTTAAAGATAAATAGGAAATCTGCTTACTCTGTTACACAGTCCAATCCTTGTTCCTAAGAGAACACGTTTCACAGACCTTATAATATAATGTGGACTCCTTTCGCCGACGCGTCTGTATAAGGAAGGCACGGCAGCATTTATTACAGATACACTTAGGCATTTTACATTTTTCTTAATTACTCACGTATTTTTTTTTTAAAAAACGGTCTTTCGTGGGCGGTAAGATCAAATGAAATGAAATGAAAATGAAAGTTGTGACGGTGCTTTTTAAGTCTACGATCTTTTGGAAACGGTGACAAAACAAGCTCCGCATGCCGGACGAGCTGAGCTACAGTACCTACCCAGGGAATTCAGGAGCCTTATGTTAATTCGAGTGCTGCTACTATGCGAGACTTATTAACGCCTTCACGGCACTCTCCATGCGGATAAACATACCAGCCCTAATCTGGGAAATATCCCGTTGTTATTCCAATGACACACGCAATTACGATACATTATGTATCCGCTTCCGGTTTGTCTGCCGTTCCTTGCGTCACCAAGTGGCTATAAATGGAACAGAGAGCGAAAAATACCGTAAGTCTTAGAAAAGTGCAAACTAGAAACATCACTGCTAACATCAACCAGGCTGCAAACACAGATCAGGAGAATGGGAAAACTTTTAGACTAAATCCGGATAAAGACAGTGAGAATGGGTATTTCATTTAAAGTAGTAGTTTTCGAATGGAACACGGGACATGTAATGATTGGTTTTACTTAATAGCAAAATATCATTTGTCCCATCTAGCTCATTTGGTTTTCGGTTGTTAACTGTTCCGAGGAACCAAGATATCACAGCTCGGCTGAGTAGCTTGTTCCATGCGCCCACTACTCTTTGTGCAGAAAGGTGTGTACTCGGTTTTAAAGGCGCTTTCCTACATTTTCCAATTGTTACCTCTGACTCGAGTTTCAATACTGATTTGGTAGACGTCCAGTAGATTGATGTTGTCGGGTTTTTTTTTTTGAAGATTTTAAATGCTTGAATCAAATTACCTCGTAGTCTTCTCCGTTGTAGACTTAAACGATCACGGTTTTTTTTCAGCGTGTACGAGTACAGAGCCACGTTTTTAATCTTTGTGACCAAAAATTGTACAAATTATTTTAAGCGAGGTCTTATTAGGGCATTGTATAGTTTTATCATAACTGGCCGAGATACAAATTATTTAAACGATATATCGGAACATTTTCCTTTTTACTTCTCCTCCATTTTGTCTAAATAAAAACAATGCGTCAACATAATTACCTAAATCTTTCTCATAAGTAGTGTCTTCAAGATAGGCGTTTCCCCTTATGGTTGGCATTGAAAATAAGGAAAAAAAAAGTTTTCTTCTTTAAAACAGTACAGTAGGCTCTGAACGTTACTGGCCAATAGCATTTTACAGAGACGTAGGGAATACTGTCACGAAAGTCCATCCATGAGAATTGTCTTCTGCAGGCTGTTCAATTTCCTTTAGTTAAAGAATAAAAGAACACAGATTTAATTTATGACGAAACGCGGACAAAAAAGGATTTCAACTAAAACTGTTGGAGCTAGCAGGCTTCGTTTTATACCTGCAGTATTGATTAGAATCCACTAATTTTCCCTTATGCATAATAACACCGCGGTCTCAACTCTTAAAGCTGCGCACAGATGTAGAAGTCATGTATCGAGCTTAAAAATGTCTTGTTGTTGTGACATTAAAGAATATGCATTATTGCATCCTTCAATAAATGTCACTTCTAGACATTATCTTTTCTTTTTATATGGGATTTTAATGATGACGTGATAAATCATTCAATCCATAAACACTCAGCCCAGGTAAATCTCTTTAAAAAAAAGATACTGAGATATATTTCGCTGGATTGGTAAAATAAAATTTAAATGCCTTCACATGTGTGCATAAAAATGAGCTATGATACAACCATTTGTAGAGCAATTTTAGCTGGTGAGGAGTTAAATAACAGAACATATCTTTCCCCGGGAGTAAAGATTAATATATTTGGTTACTGTGTGGACACATAGCCGGTCTATTGTAATGGTGTCTTGGAAGGTGTGAATAGGAACGGGACATATGCAGTCTATCACCGCAGGTGCCTACATCTGTTCTCCTCTAAGGCAGATGCTCTCAGAAACTTGGAAAGCAATTCTAAAGGAGATCCGCCCCTTTTAAATCCTCCATTCATAACCCTAGCGCTCTTCAGTAATCCAGATTGCACTGCTAGCGAACCAGGGTGGCCTCATTAAAAGAGCTGGCGAACTGCAGGCACTTCAGCATCCAACTTGGAAAAGTGTTCCTCGCAATTATTCCCTTAATACGAAATCAAAACAAAATCTTTGAGGTGTCTAAGACAATGTCTTATAAATTGCCATCTCAGTAAGTAACCAGTTGCATGAACTGATCCATAGAATTCCGGACATTTAGACTGAGAAGGATTGTTTACCATAAACACACTAAATGCCTTTCACAGACTACACAACCCAAGTGTCTACGCACTGTTTGCGGTGGTAAATGTGCAGTCAGAAGCCTTTTAAAACGCATTTGGCATGAAACGATAATAGATACCGCCAAAAATACAAATGCATTTAAGTAAAATGAAAGCGAAAACATTCATTTTAGAAAGCAATCGCGATCAATTAACATTTCGCAAATAGGTGAAACACAGTTAACCATCCTAAAACAAGCACCCCCCCCCAAACAAAAAAAAACACGCGCTCTCAAACTCCTTTCAGATCGCTCCTATTTCATTCTTCAGCTTCATCATCACAGTTAAACAAGACTCGGAACACAATCGGATCAAGAAAAGATCTTCCATTTTTATCCATTACTAGAATAGGTTTCAGTGACGGGGAGAAAGGGTGGGGGACTGAAGGATTCAATGGGAAACTTTTGTTCCAGTGTCCTAGACAATTTATAGCCTGAGACTTTTAAGAGCTTTCCGTCCATTAATTCTTGAATGTAACCCTTCCCTTTTTTAAAAAAAAAGAACCAAAAAGCAGTGATAGGTCTGAATTCCTTTCTCCCGGACAATTCGTTACAGGACAGTAACACTTTCGGGAAATGTCTTTTGAATTGGCGGAACAGTTAACGGGCGTCCTGATAACGTCATGATCTTGACGCCCGAGAAGGGGGGATAATTCAGCCTCTCTATTGAACGGACTCGCGCCTGATGTCGACGGCGATCTGTCGGTGCGGAGACGCGCAGCCTGTTGTCGCCCAGCCCCTGGCTACGTGTAGGCCTGTGGACGAGCACATGGGCTGAAAATGTGCCCTGGGGGGCTGGGGTGTGTGTGGGTGGGGGTGGGGGCAGGACAGGCAGATGTTCTGTGGCAGACATCGGCACGCGACTGCCCTCAACTCTGCAGAACCTTCAAAACTCTCCCAGCGTCTCCCCCCACACCCCAGCCCCCTAAAACACACACACCCACATCCCCGATGGGGCTCCCAGCATACCCAAACACCCCCCCCGGCATGACCCCAGCAACAAACCCAACACGAATGTACGGCCACTCTCAGATTGGTCCGCGCATCCGAGGAGCAGCTGGCTGAAGTAATCTGATCTGTAGACAAAGGAATGCTCCTCGGTCCCAGGATCACAGGTAAACACGCAGCCTTTATTATGAAAATGAGGCCCGGGGACAAGAACGGGAGCAGATGATTTGCGATAGTTCCCCCCTCTTCCAAAAGAGGGGGACGATACTGAGCTGCTTTATCCGTCATCTGTGCCCTCCGTGTGCCAGGCGAGCCACGCGACACAGCCTTTCTTATTATAATCAGCACATGCCTGCGCAGCTACACGCATGACCGCTGAGCAAACCGCTTCATCCCCTCGCGGAGCACGCACGCTCGGCGGAAGGGGCACGAGTTCCGCCTGGAAGAAAGTTCAAGCAGCGTGCGCCGGCTGCGGAGGAGCGGGGAAAGGTCGATTGCCCCTCTCGGGAAAAGAGCAGAGACGCGACGTTTCGGCCGTGGGGGGCCTCTTTCAGGTGCGGCGAGCAAGGCGGGAAGAAGAAGGCCCCACAGCCGAAATATCGTGCCTCTTTTCCAAGAGAAGGAATACACCTTTACTTGTTCTTTTGCGAGTTTTTTTTCTTCTGTTCCTCTTCGAAAACCCAAGGAGACACGCGAGAGAGTGTCAGCTCCCACTGTTTCCCCCTGTCCGTTTCAGGACACCGCACTGATGTGCCTAATGTACCTTTGTAAAGGCCACAAGGTGAATCACATCACCTCCAAGCCCTGGCGACCGTGGTGTTCGCAAAACGCTGCCGGGATTTGCGCCTATATTCCAAGTGCGCAATATGTGCATAACCCCCCATTTCCAAAACAGCTGTGACTGATCTGCACAGACCAGGCATTTGAGAAGTATTCACCGATACAACCCAACAGAATCGTATCATTGACAGAAGGCCAGGCTAAACCAGGGCTCACGTCAGCTTTTGCCCAGTGTACAGTGCCGAGAGTAGCGGCAGCAGAGGCACGTGATGCACCTCGCCACTGAAATCCACCTGCCTTGTCCGGGACGGGAGATTTTGTTTTTAATCCCGCCCACAAGCACGATACGCATAGTGGGGTTTAAGTGAAAAGCGACAAAGGGAGCCCCGGTATTCGCCACTTCTCATCCTGAGCCACGATGGGATATTTCAGTATTGCTGTTAGCGTGTATTCACGGTCTGTGCTCACGTGAGCGACGAAATGCCACTCACTTCCCGACGCGAAAGTTGGAGCTCCCCTCACCACATGGCGGCGGCCATACCGTTGCAGGTTTTGTAACATGCTTCCAGTCCAATTTGGATGAAGCCTGTGCAATATGCGAGCGGTGAACAGTATAGAGACATGCAGTTGGAAGTGGAGAAGAAAAAAAAAACGCCATTTGGTTAGGTAGGAGCAGATGGTTGACTGGGGGGCTGATCGCGTCTAAAGGCGTGTCATCCCCTTCAGAGAGAATCCCCGAGGGCTCCCCTTGTATTCAAAATCAATGAAAATTAAAGCGCAAAGAAAGGATGAATAGTCAGAGCTCGAGTCCTCCTTTGTTCGGTCCAGCTACTGGTGGGCAGGAGTTAAACTACAACAGCCCCCTATAGAAACACTTAAGTTAAACAGTCTCCCCATAGTCCACCTTCTGAAAGAGGGGGACTAAGAAAAGGGGACTTTCTGCCTGATTTAACCAAGACAGAATCGCGTGGCATAAATTAAGTTTGAAAAGAATAAGTGTACTGGGCAGCATTCTGAAGGATCGTACTGCGCCTTTCCGTTACGCTTTGCTGCTGTAATCGAGAAATCTGTGCCACGTCAATTTAATAAATGGCGGATGATGTATGGGGAAGAAAAGGATGGGCCCTGCCTGTTCATAGGTCTGGGCTCCTACGCGTGTTACCTTTAAAAACAAAATAACCCGAAACGACGTGTTAAGCGAGAACCTAGCCGACCAGGTGATTAGGAAAGTACAACTCCACCTAGGTGAACGTGTAGTTTAAAGACTGTGAAGTGACCAGAGGCTCGCCTGTCCTGGGGCTGGACAGCTGTTAATAACAAACGTCAGTGGGTACAGGCCGCGGTATTAGAGACTTGACGTATAAAAAATACTGAACAGATACATATATAGCATCGTTTGTGGCTAAATAATAAACGCCAGTAAACAAAGATACAGGATCGCTTATTTCTTCATATATGTCAACGGTTGTCATCAAGAGTTTTTTTTTTTCCTTAACACGCAACAGCATTCACAATTCAATCGAAGACGTTTGTATGACACTGAAAAAATTACTTTGGGAGCGCGTCGCTGTAGCGGAGACGCGTTCCAACAACCAAAATACGAAGTGTAAATTCTGTAAACAAACATAATACCGTAGAGGGACGTTTACAGTGAAGGGGGATTATATAACACTGAAGTTATGTTTGAGATGACTAATTACAGCACTTAAAGACTGCGGCCAGTCACCACACTGCCGATGACAAAGACAGCCCGGTGAACGCTTAGCTTGATACCAGGTTGCACAACAACCAAGTTAAGACGCAGCATAATACCTACAGGGACTGCAAAGATTTTTTTCCCCTCTCCTTGTTATGCAACACGGCTCTGAGAACTTTCAAAGGCCATTCCCTTTCTGCAAATTAATGTCGCGTTTCAATTAACGTCCTAATTAAGACCCCCACGTCCGACTCCCACCCCGACTGCACGGCTTCGTGCAAATCGACCGGTTCAGAACTGAAGTCATGTACTTTAATTAAAGTTTCATATACTGTTTCGTCTGTTAGTGAAAGAGAGTCGAGTGAGTTTCAAACAAACTTCGGGTAAGAAAAAAGGGGACCCCCCCTCCCAAAAAAAAACCCAACAAATGTTCCAGTGTTTGATGGTTGAAATAATGAGGTGACGGTTGGTGCGGTGTTTTTTTCTGTTTTTTTTTTGGCTGGAAGGGCGATTTTTTTTTCCAAAGTTGAAGACATTGTTGTAGAGACTGCAGCGTGCGCCGAGGGGAGCTCTTTCTCTCAGTTATATTGTAGAGGGAGCAGGTGCTGTCTGAATTACCATACAGCTGAAAGCACGAAGAACAAACTTATTCTTTCCTCACACAATAACAAAGTGCCTTAATGACAGCCACGCGAACGACACACACCAACCCACTTTTTTAACATCAGCGCTGCCTCGGAGTGCGTGGCGAAAAATCTAGACTCACAAACTTAACAAAACCTTTACATCGTTTCTGAAAAGTCTCCACCCCCCGGTTACAAAGACAAAGTTTCCAAAAAACGCTGATCAAGTTCTCCCACAATTAAAAAAAAAAAACCCGAATGCCCGCGTAAAGCAATTTCAGCTTAATAGCTTTCCAAAACCAGGGTCGTATATAAACATCAGATCTGGTCTGTACTGTACATTGTTTTCATGATTGTTGCTGCCAGGGTTTTAATTAGTTTTGGCACCAAATCAGTGCAGTTACAATTTTGTTTTGCAGCACCAAATCAATCTCGTGTTTGTTTATGTGTAAAGAACTCTTAGAACGGGTACTTAGTTATTCTACGTACGGAACGAGTAGTTGTAATTGGGTGGGATCGATTCCCTCTACAAATCCGAGTGAATCTGCCAGAATCTGTTTGGAATTGGCATATTTTACATTTTCCTTAGGAGCACTGCAATTTTCCGAATTCCAAAGCTACTACGATCAGAAATCGCATGCAATGCATTTGATAAAAGACTGTCTTGAGCAGAGCACGCCAATTAACTTTCGCTATCCTTTCATTATGTCGTTTGTCTATATATACAATTTTAAAATTTCCGCTTCTTGGTCGTGTTTTTCTAATTATGTATGGTTAAAATGTTAATCAAAAAGTAAAGATGGGTCAGGAGCCGAAGTCGAGGACTAGAATATACGCGAAACGTGTTGCCTAGGTAAAACAGAGGCGAGGGGGAGTTCTTTTTTATTTCAAAAGTATTGTTGAACGTGTTTACTTAGTTAAAAACAAATCAGAGTCTTCACTTAAACAGCGAATTCCTACACCGTTATACTGGGCTGCCTCCTGCGTTATTTGTTACTTAACCCTGCAAAGATGGAACGTGTTGCAATCTGAGATTTTGTGGCATGAAAGGATGTGAAGGATTCTTATGGTTAAAAATTTGCAGGAATGTAAATTAGTGTGTTTTGTTTTGTGCCATGGGGAAGGGTTGCACATTTTACAGCTCAGTGACCATTTGGCGATCTTTAGAGAAGGGGGTTTTGAAAAGTGGTCCTTTGTGACAGTTCTAGCCAGATTGTGGAGGGGGGGACGGGGGGGGACTCATTTGCATCTGATTATCCTACCAAGCAGCACTCTGTATATAACCGGCGGCAGGCGGACTGGAACATCAGACACACATAGTTTCACGTTGAGCGAAGACCTGGTGAGAAAGCTGTGGAGAAAACTATTCTGGATCAGTAACGTCTTTGCTTGTAAGGAACTAAGGGAAGACGTAAACAACAAAAGAGCGACGCTACGAGCTCTCCTCTGCTTTACTTTTGCACCTACGAGTCAAAATCTGTGATGAACTGCAATATTTAATTTCAAGATTGGAATTATCGCCTTGGCAAGGAATTTCGAGTTCATTCCCAAATCTCAGTTCGGGGACCCTCTTCCCCTCGCGCTCTCGCTCTGCTGGGGATTAAACAATTTCTTTGTTTTTGTGTGTTGCGTCTCCAGAATCACACGCCGTGACTGATGCGCAGAACTAAAGTCAAAACGCCTTGAAAGAAGAAATAAGTTCTCTCGGAGACGCGCGTCTCGCACTGACTTCCAAAGAGCCAGCAGTTAACGAAGCAAAGGGCGTAACTGAGAGAAGGGGACACTTGATTTTTTTTTAAAATTCTGAGTCGAGCTGGGACAAACCGCAGTTGCCCAGACTCTACGACTTCTCTCTACTTTTTTGCTAGAAAATAACCAAAATGGGACGCCGGCCTCTTTTAATAGCTGTCGTCCTGAGTGTCTTAATATGCCAGGTAAATATTTTCCTGCCGAACATCAACACAGACTTTTGTATAACTCCAGTTACCTTGTACGTGGAAAATATTGTTAATAATAACGACGCATAACTTTGTTTTAACCCCTCTTTTTTTTACAGAGATATTAAACGCTCCGCCCGATCTGAGGCTTAAACCGTATTTTATCTTCTCTCCGCAGGGCTTGTGCTCTGGTGTCTTTGAGCTGCGGTTGCAGGAGTTTCTGAACAAGAAAGGTGCGATGGGGAACATGAACTGTTGCAAAGGAGGGTCGAGCTCGGGGTTTCTGCAGTGTGAATGCAAAACGTTTTTCCGAATCTGCCTGAAGCACTACCAGGCAAACGTCTCGCCGGAGCCTCCCTGCACCTACGGCAGCACCGTGACGCCTGTCCTGGGCTCCAACTCCTTCCAGGTCCCGGAGACCACTTCGGACAACTCATTCACCAACCCAATCAGATTCTCCTTCGGCTTCACATGGCCTGTGAGTACTGCGGTTGTGCTTCTCTGGCAAACAACGGTTTTGAGGCGGGTGGAAGCAGAAAGCTGCACTTCTGCGTGTTCAGAGACAAAAAAAAACCCCAACAACAACGACATTTAAGGGCGTCCCCATGTCTCCAAAACATTCGCGTTAAAGGTTTAAACCCAGAACCTGTGGCCGGTCGCCGGAGTCTAATTTAAATGTTTTTAACAAATGTTGTTATTGGTGTGGGAAACTTCGCATCCCCGGAGTTGGCATATAATTGTCAGCCCTGCGTGAAATTCCGAAACGTTTCATTTTACAGCAGTGCGTAAGTGTGAAACTAGAGAAATTAAGCGTGAAGACTGATGACAACAGAGCCCCATTAATCAATAGGCTGCCTTCACATGCTAAAGAGCGTGAACTGGCTTCTTAGAACTGCTCAATAGCAAAGAACATTAGGGGAAAGTTGGGTTTCTTTTTGCTACATTGTATACTTATTTTTGTCCTTTTCCACCCGCTTACGAATAGGGAACTTTCTCGCTGATTATCGAAGCTCTACACACGGACTCTCCAGATGATCTCTCAACAGGTACGTGCAACTGAAGAATTACATGTGCTTCTCTCGCAAGGGTCGCGCTGGAGAGAACGGTTTCTGTTTTACTGCCCCCTCTCCCTTAACATCACATTTGATCAACTGTGTGTCTTTTCCAAAAGAAAACCCCGATCGCCTGATCAGTCGCATGGCTACCCAGAGACATCTCACGGTGGGAGAGGAGTGGTCTCAGGATTTACATACCGGTGGAAGGACCGAACTCGTCTACTCCTACCGCTTCGTTTGCGATGAACACTACTACGGGGAGGGCTGCTCTGTGTTCTGCCGCCCGAGGGACGACACTTTCGGTCATTTCACCTGTGGGGAGCGCGGCGAGAAAGTCTGCAACTCCGGCTGGAAGGGACAATACTGCACGGAACGTGAGTATACACAGCTATGAGGGTGTTAAATCGCATACCGGCATTGCTGTTTTAAAGTTAGCAACAGGTCTTCTAGCTGTCCATCAGAATAACGGTAGAAAACAGATAGGTACAGTATATGCTCAAATACGTATGCATACTTAACGCTTTATATTGCAATCTCTGACGGTTGCATAGTCACCCCCCTTTCTTTCCTTATCAGTAGGTGAATTTATTTAAATAAGAAAAGTTTGTGGAATAATCACACGCGTGCCATAGATTAGATGCGAGGGCTGATTGGCTGCTGGGGGGGGGTTTGCGTGGCGCTGATTGGCCGAGCCGCGAGAGGTATTGTTGGAGAGGGGCAGCTGCTGAGTGAGAGTAGACAATAGAGCAGCTGTCCTGCACTGGCACTGTGCTCGCCAGCTGTCCACCCTTATCTGCACCGACTCAGGGATACTAAGGGGAGGAGCTGTGTGCACAGAATGAAAAAAGAGACTTCTGACCCACAGTGAGGGGAGAAAAAGGGCCTTTTGTGTCTTTCCCCTTTGTCTGTGTGCAACTGTGTTAAGCAGAAAGTTCTTCCCTAGTGATAAGGGACACACGATTTCAAGGTAACTGGGTAATGGGGCCACCAACCCCTTTGAAATAAATCTGCCAGGATTTACTGATAAGGCCGGGCTCAAAAGCAAATATAAACAAGCGTTAACATATGTTCAAGTGATTTATGTTCACGGAGTGTTTTTCCGATTTCAGCAATCTGCCTGCCAGGGTGCGACGATCAGCATGGGGATTGCGACAAGCCGGGAGAATGCAAGTAAGTTTTTGTAGGGCTCGGCGATCTCTGTGGAGGGCACATCCGTTGAGCTGGTCCACCTCAGTTAAAGGAGGGCCCAGCGGTAGTAAATGTGAGCAAGATGACCTCTTCAAGCATTCCTGCGCGAACACCGTGCTTTGTTAACGAGAGCTTTTATCAGACCATCTTCAACTGACAGTATTCTCGGTACAGAATAAAACTCGAGCACCAGGCTAAAAATGGTCGCTGCTGTACATCTCGATGAAGCCCGCGGTGAAGTTTTTGGGGGCATGTCTAAAGGTCCGTGGGTTTGCCTTGCAGGTGCAGAGTGGGGTTCCGGGGCCGGTACTGTGACGAGTGTATCCGGTACCCCGGCTGCCTGCACGGGACCTGCCAGCAGCCCTGGCAGTGCAATTGTCAGGAAGGCTGGGGTGGCCTGTTCTGTAACCAAGGTGAGGTTTGCCTGCGTTTTTCAGTTTCATTTTGGAGAGGCACAGAAGTTCACATCTCCCCCGCCGCCACCTCTTCCCCGTCTCGTCCATCTTCGTGTAGAGCCAGGGCGTTAGTTGCCAAAGTAATAAAAAAAAAACCACATTTGGACTGAGCATTTAGAAATCCACATGGCGCACCAACAGGGGGCTAACAGAGGCTGACGGAGGCTTACCAGGGATTTTGCACCTGTTTCTGTGAAGGAAAGCCTTTTAAGCAGCACCTCCTGAAGATCTGAAGTGCGTGCTAACTGTTTTCTGTAGCGGGGATCTGGCACAGGGTCACAGTGCTGAGGAGTGGGGTTGCATGTGTTCGCGTCAGTGCGTAATAGGTGTGAGATCCACGTGTCGAATCTTCTCTTGCAGATCTTAATTACTGCACCCACCACAAGCCCTGCATGAATGGAGCCACTTGTACCAACACTGGCCAGGGGAGCTACACCTGCTCCTGCAAGCCAGGCTTCACTGGTGCCAGCTGTGAGATTGAGGTCAATGAGTGTGATGCCAACCCCTGCAGGAATGGAGGAAGCTGCACTGTGAGTATTTAATCTCTTCGTCTGCGGGCTTTTGTCCGTCGCACTGATAAGTGTTACACCTCCGCCAGATGCAGAATCAGTCATGTAACTAGCTAGTTCGACAGATTGACCTGTCCTGCTTGAATGGTATTAAAAACCAGACAGAGCCTACAGTAGGTACTGAAATTCTCTGCAGTCAAGCCAGTCATGGGCTCTGCTGTGGTACTGGGTATTTGGTGCCCAGTGGAGGGCTAAATGGAGTTGGAGCTGCAGGAGGTGGCTTCATGCTGGTCTCCTTGTCCGTGCAGGATCTGGAGAACGCCTACAGCTGCACGTGTCCCCCTGGCTTCTACGGCAATCACTGCGAGCTGAGCGCCATGACGTGCGCCGACGGGCCCTGCTTCAACGGCGGACGGTGCGCCGACAACCCCGAGGGGGGTTATTTCTGCCAGTGCCCGATGGGCTACGCCGGCTTCAACTGCGAGAAGAAGATCGATCACTGCAGCTCTAACCCCTGTGCAAACGGTGAGAACGAGCTTCTCTGCCTGCAAGGCGACGTAACACAATTATAGACCCACACGTCTGTTCCTATAGTTCAATAGTTCAACAACAATTTCGGTCCTTGTTGAGCGGAAATTAGTTTATTTTAAATGGCAAAAACAAAATCTGGGTCACAGAAGTGGAATTTATGATGCCACAATTATTTTATATATATGGATCTATACAAGACCGTTTATCAAGTCAGGTTCCTATTATAATATATAACATTACTTTATTAACCCTTTACAATTTCTTGCATTAGGAATTATCTTTTCGCATACCCCAGCTTGCTCTCCATGAGACACACAGATAGAGAGCCTGGGGTCAGAGCGCAGGGTCAGCCATTTATATGGCGCCCCTGGAGCAGTTGGGGTTAAGGGCCTTGCTCAGGGGCCCAACAGAGTAGGATTCCTCTGCTGGCTGCAGGATTTGAACCGGCAACCTTCCAGCCACAGGCGCAGATCCTGAGCCACAGAGCCACCTCCTCCGCCTAAATATTGGCACCAGTGCTCTTTAGGGTGTGGAATATTGCTTTTATTAACGTGCTCTAATCTCTTCCAATCACCAATTTTGTTTCTTCTCTTCCTTGTGCAGGCGCTCAGTGCCTGGACCTGGGGAACGCGTACCTGTGCCAGTGCCTGGAGGGCTTCACGGGGCCGCACTGTGACGACAACATCGACGAGTGCGCCGCCTTCCCCTGCCTGCACGGCGGGACGTGTCAAGACGGCGTGAACGACTACACCTGCACCTGCCCCCCCGGCTACGTGGGGAAGAACTGCAGCTCGCCCGTCAGCCGGTGCGAGCACAACCCCTGCCACAACGGAGCCACGTGCCACGAGCGGAACAGCCGCTACGTCTGCGCCTGCGTGCCGGGCTACGGCGGCCTCAACTGCCAGTTCCTGCTGCCCGAGCAGCCCAAGGGCCACCCGGTCGTCGACAGCCCCAACAACAAGCGCTACACCGACGACGGCGAGGGCGACTTCCCCTGGACGGCCGTCTGCTCCGGGATTATCCTGGTCCTGGTACTGCTGCTGGCCTGCGCCGTCCTGGTGGTCTGCTTCCGGGTGAAATTCCAAAGGAGGAGCCAGGGGCCGGAGACGAGCCCCGGCGAGGGCGAGACCATGAACAACCTGACCAGCTGCCAGAGGGAAAAGGACATTTCGGTCAGCGTGATCGGGGCCACCCAGATCAAGAACACCAACAAGAAAGTGGACTTCCTCTGCGACGGTGGCAGGGAAAAGACGGGCTACAAAGCCCGGTACCCGACAGTGGATTACAACCTGGTGCACGAGCTGAAGCACGAGGACTTGGGGAAAGAGGAACCGGAGAGGGGCGAAGCCAAGGGCGACGTTCCGGACTCGGACTCGGAGGGCAAAAACGCGACACACTTGAAGAGGTAACGGTTATGCTCTTTTAACGAGAACGCCCGCCAGTTTCAATGGATAAACTGCTGCCTCCTCTTGAAAGCTTGAAATATACTATGAAGCTAATGCCCTCTTTTTCCCCCCTAAAATCTCAACAGCGATTCTTCAGAAAGAAAGCGCCCAGAGTCTGTGTACTCCATGTCGAAGGACACAAAGTATCAGTCCGTCTATGTCATATCGGAAGAGAAGGATGAATGCATTATTGCAACCGAGGTGAGTAAAGGTGCTGCTGGTGCCCTGTCCTGCGCCTCAGAATGGGAAGGGGGACGCTCCTGTTAACGCAGCTGGAAAGATGGGCTGTTTTAAACTCAACGCCTTCTCTCCTCCCTCTCTCGCACAGGTGTGAAGCGCCCACCAGGAAGCTCTCACTCATTTGTCTCTTCTCTGAGGAGGTGTAACTCTGTCATATGCTGCTCAAGCCCAGAGGGAAGGTTTCCTTCAATGTGACCTGCTGCTGTGGAACTACAAAGTTAAAACTGATATTCAGAATGAGCTGGTTCTCTACTGAAGTAAGCGCAGTGACTGCAGAAAACAGTGGCTGTTGGGCCATAGTGGTCTGCTCTCTCAAGGGTATATCCCAGGAACGTGCTAAACAATGTCTGTTACACTGTCTCTGAGGACTTTTTTTCCTCATTGCACTATGGACAGTTGCTGTTTAAATTATATTATACTGAACACAAACTGACTTGATCACTGTTTTTTTTTGTTAAAAAAAAAAAGTCTGCACTGACAAGCAGTGTGCATTTCAAAGTCCTCTGAGCCATTCCGGTGTATTTTGGTTTAGAGTGGAAAACACTGTTCAGAAATCTTATTTTTTAATAAAAATACTGTCAGAATGTTGCTGGGTTTTTTTTAAAGCTGTATCTTTTATTTAATTGTATAATATTGCGTTTTGTGAATTTTATGTATTTTTGTGGAGTTGATTTTGGATAATTTAATTTTATTTTTTTTTTCCCTGCAAAAAAAATGTACAAAGGCACTTCGGGTCAATGTGACTGTTGTTTGTTTTTTTTTTACATAAATGTATTTAAGATGTATTGTGCAGAATCTTATTTGAATTTTTTTTTTTGGTTAATGAAGGAAATCATTTAAAAAATATTTTTCCAAAATAAATAATATTAATTATACACGTGCATCTTTTTCTTTTTTGGTCACCTACAAGTGTGAATTTAACTCCTGCTGAAATCAGCCAGAATCCCAGGAGAGTGGATGTGGATACTGGAATGAAGAGCTGGCCAGCCCTGTAGTATTACAGTAGTATTTCCTGACAGTTTGAGGAGTTATTGTGGGTTGTGGTCATTCCCTCCTGCTGTTTTTTCCCCAGAAAGCGTGAGACTTACTAGGTTTTGAGGAAATGCCCTTTTTTTTCAAAAGCAATAAACAAATCGGAATAAATAAGAATGGAATTGTCAACTGCAATGGCACTTTCAGTTTAATCACTTGTGCATTTGTATAAAGGAAATTACATTCATGATTGAAGATCCATGTTGGAACCTGGCATTTGTCATGATAGAATATTAAAGGAAAACGTATTTATCCAAGGCACTGGATGACCTAAACATCTTTTAATTGGACAGATGGAATAGAAATTTAACTCTTGTGTCTCTGCGCTGGCAAATATCCGAAGTGGTTTGTCTTTGCTGCTGCATGTCCAATTTGCTTTTGGTCCGTAACGCTGCTGTAAATGTTTACGAGGTGAGTAAGGTGTCACTACAGCAGATGCAGCTCTGTCTGCTTCTACGGTATTCTTGTTCCACGTTTCACAGAAGTGTCTTGCTAGGGTTCGGGGCAGGTTTATTTCTCTTTTTTTTTCCTTTGCAATTCATAATTGACATCTCGCAACCATTTTATAAGTGTCGAATCTTTTCCTGTTTCTCCCCCCCCCCCGGCAACTTTGAGAGCAGAAGACGTTGGCTCTGTATGATTTCAGACAGCTGAAGAATCCTTTGATTAACGTGCTTACGTGCAGCTGTCCGAATGATGACGCGCGAGAAAAAAAACAACTTCCATTTCGAAGAGTGGAAGCTTAAAGATCACAGGACATGAAAGAAAAGCTATGCAGTGTGAGGAAGGGAGAATCGTCCCCTGCAAAAGATTCTGGAATTTCCCAGACGGAAAATGGCAAGAGGACACTGGGTTTGAGCTCCTACAAGGTAACATTGGTGTATTTTATAACTCCTCTACTTACAATCAGCTCTGAGCTGCCTGTGCCTTACAATGCTCTTTTGGTCTGTCTCACATCTGGTTACTGTAGCAGAATCTCAAACTGTTTTTCAAAACCGCACAAACTGCAAGTCGCCTAACAGTCCCAAGCCCCGAAATTGTGGCCTTTGCTAGAAAAGAAGGTGTAAGAATGAACTGTAAGAATGCACTCAATGCCTTGCTTCATTTATGAATGGGGTAAAGGCAACATACCGTAAATGCACAAGTGTTCTAAATATATCATTAAAGATCAATAACTACAGAGATATTCTACAAAGTTGAAGATGCAAACATTGGTATTTTATTACGTGAGAATTAGTCTATTGCAGTAACTTCACCCCTGGATGTGATGAAAGATCTTAAACTCATATACTTAAGAATATTTACTGGCTTTGTTCTTTAAATTGGGAATGAGGGATTCTGTCTCATATAAATTTAATGGCTTGCAGGAATCTAGTGATACATGTATATTGCAGACTTACACTGCTGTAAGTTAATGTTTACATGGGGAAACATTACATTAGCATTTAGTTATGGACTTCAGCAGTCATTCAATCAATCAGCTCATTAAGGCTAGGTCTCCAATTTTCTTATGCATCATCACTCACCATAAAAGAGTAGGACAAGAGGGGTTTAAAGAATAAAAACGTTTCATAATAAAAAATATTTCAATAGTTGAAAGAGCAGAGCACTCCAAGTGTGACAGTAACCATGTTTTGTAGAATATGAGGATTTGGTGACTTGATAACTTTGCTTCTTCTTCTCCCTTTGCTGTTTTTTCTTCTGAATGCATGTTGACTCCTCTCCATACAATTTCCCGTACGGATATGAAACAGGTTACACACCAATGGATGCCACTGGGTTCCTTCTGCCCCTGTAGTTTTCATACTCGACTACATAGGAAACCAGGAAACTGTTTCTCTGGAGATCCTTGACAATCCAACACCATGGTGCAGAGGAGTTTGGTCCATTTAGGAGCAAATTAGTCCTGTCTGTGTCAGGTAGCCTACACTAGCTTTGATTAAAATATTTGGAAAACGTGTACTTTTTAAATATGTCAACATGCACTTCAGGGCAGAAGAAGAGGGGAAAACGAGATTTAACCAATTATGATGTCACTCAGGGAAAACGTGAAGGGGAGGATCACTCAGGCATTCAGGGAAATGTTTAGGGGAGAATCAAATTTAGGGGTGCCAGAAGCTGGGGTACCTTGACTCCACAGAACTCTGCAGAAACTAGGCAGGAGTGTGGGGGGGGAGGCCTCTAAGGTAAATGATGATTGAGTGGTGTTGATGGGCCATTAGGTATCACTCTTCCATGAGGACTGGGAATTCCAAATCATTACCCCCAAAGTGCCAGGCTGACAATGATGACTCTGCAGGAGATGCAAGACCATAAATTAAAACCCTTCCCTGACTGAGCACATTATAATATTACACTTCCTACAAAAATGTCACGCACCAGAAAACTTTCTTCATCAAAGAATGATGAGGACTCTACGTGGCTGAAGGCCACCTTTTTCTTTGAAGTAAGCTGAACCACTGTGTACTGTGCCTGTGTATCCTTATAAAAAGTTGGGCTACGTGTTCAAAAAATGCATTGTGAGGTCTGTGCGTTTTTCTTCTGGCTGTGAAACCTGCTCACATAGTTTAAGAGCAGTTGTGGTGTGAGCAGAAAGTTACACCACTACCGTTGATACGATTTTATGCGAGATATTGAATTACCCGCTGAAATTGTAAACAAGCCTGCTGAAATCTAAACAGGTGCATAGGTTTTACAAACCCCTGCACGGAGCTGAGTGAGCCAAATTATGTATGAGGAAAGACAACATCATGCGTAGCCCATTTCAATGATCCCCAAAGGCAAGTGTTCAGAAACAGACTAGATTTCTGTCAGCATCTGTCATTTGCAGTCCCAACACATTATTTTTTTCTGAAATTGTGGTTATGGAGCTGAGGTATGTGTCAAGGGGCTGCTCTGGAAATTCCTGTCTTAACATTCAGAAGAAGCCAGGGGATTATCTGCATCTATAGTCTTTGATTAAACAATTCATCGATTGTTAAAGGGTTAAAAAAAAAACACAGCTAAAAAGAATGTTGGGATTTGTCATCCAGATCTTACACACATCCAGTTGTGCTAGGAATTAAAGATAAAATAGACAAGTGCTCTGAATAAAAAAACCCTCCACTTCTCTCAATCTGCACACTTAAGACACTTAATGGCCATCTTTGAACAACAATTATGTCCCCAGCTGATGAATTGGCATTCATCATCTTGCCAATTTTCTGGTGAAGTGGTCTGAGCAGAGTAAGGGCAGTGCTTTGGAACAGGAAAGAGTATTAATTCTAACAGGAAGCCCTGAAACACATTAGCGTGTATCACACAACAGTTGTACAGTTGTTTTCACTTACCAAACTAAGCCTTTAAGCTAAACTTTTTTTTTTCTCGCTCATACAGTGTCTTTTCGCTGAAATGGAAAATATCAAGAGACTGGCAAAAAGCAGTTCTTTAGTTTCTTCATTCTGTGTTGTCCTGTTGCCCAGTTCAGCACCTCATGATATCTTTTTATCTGTTTTTCGGTTATGTGTTTCAGATTGAACAAAGATCAGTGATGAGTGCCAACATGGCTCTCTGTTCTGAATAATGAACTTGCTCCTTTGATTATAATTAGAAACGATTTGATCTTTTATCTCTCTGGTGCCATCTGAAATCAAAGATGCATTAAAATATTAATTTTCTTGTATATTTAGAAAAACATAATTTACCCAATATTTTTCAACTCTTCCCAATATTTGAAATAATTTTATGTAAATACTGAATGTTTCCATTACACAACAATGTACATATTACTGTCGATTTCAAAAATTATCATTTAGAAAACAAATTTGTTACTAGACTAATAGCAGGAAAAATAATTATCCTCTTTACTCTGTTTGAAATATCATTTATGATCAATTGTCTACATCCATGTTATACCTAAAACTATACTTTAAATCCCTGTTTTGCATATGCATTCCAAAGAATTTGTGGATCGTCCGGGAAATGTGATGGCATTGTGATGGTTTTGATTTCCATGTTATCCTCAACCTCTGAGGAATGTGTCATCCTGTAACAAACATCCATGTGATCTTGGTGATGTTTCTCCTTACAACTTAAAAAAATAGAATTTAGCGAACTTGGAAAACGACACTTGGTGATTGACTTGTTAGTTCAAGTCATTATCCGAAAGAAAGCTGCTTATTCCCAGTAAGAATCACAGTAACTCAGAGCCTATCCTGGAAGCACTGGACACAGTGAAGAACTGCATCCTGTTTGGGACATGAGTGTCCATCACAGGACACTCACACACAGACAATATTGAAATGTGGATTAACCTTGTGTTTAGAAGTCAGAAGGAGACAGGAGCTCACACCGCAAACCCACATGGACACACAGTCTGAACATGTAGACTCCACACAAAAGGTACCCCAGTCACAAATCGAACCCACAGCCCAAAAGCTTAGCAGCAGCAGTGCTCACAGCCATGCCGCAGTGCTGTGTAGCAAATATTACTGTTAAATATTTGTCAACACTTCAGATGGAAGGCCTCAGAAAGGCAAGACATTTTGTAGCTTATCCTGAAGTACTTTGACTTACTTGGATGATGATGCTGTAACGGCACCTCCCGG